ACGAGATCCCACCTCTGTTATCCGTGCACGTTCGCGAACGAGCTGGCTCCCTGTTCAGTCCGAATTAATGCGATAGCTACGGAGAAAGGGCGACGGAAACTCGATTTGCCGCGAATCTACGAGGCAAATTTTCGAGGACCACCGCCAGCCTCCATGGACGAACGTTAACAAGATGGACTCCGGTTGGCTGGAGTATTTATCGAAAATCTCGCGGAGAAACGGCCAACCGATCAGATAATTGCACTGCAACGTCATTACCAGAACAAGCCTGCGGCTCCAGACCTTATCGTAGGCCAGCTGTTCCCAGCCTGTTAATTAAGCCTGAATGACGGCTCTTGATTGGCGTTCCCGTGTCGGCGCCCGTCAAAACTCTTGCTCGGTCCTAGCTAAGCGACACTGGCAAACGAACCCTCGATCTTTCAGCCCATTACCTCGTTTTCCACCGATCTTTTTGGTCTTCATCGACGTGAATCGTGACATTGTTCCGTGTAACTACATAGTCTTCGCTGATGGAGCTGTAGGGTGCACGTTGAGATGGTTGACACGGATGATGAAGCAAGGAAGAGATCGAAGTGAAATTTCCGCGAGACGCTGAGAGATTAACGACACTGATTAGCGTGGCCTTTTCGTTCGAATAGGATCCGGACTCGTTAATCCTGCGATTGCCAACGCACCAAAATCCTCTGGAACCTGTTGCTGCATTAGGTTACACGCATGTATTACAGAGTTCATTAGTCCTCGCGGTATTAAATTAGTTCGGCGTTAATCGCGCGCTTACTTCGTTACGCGGACACCCGTCAAGAGGAATATTCATTGTTTGTCGTTTACTTTCTCTCGTCTGCGACTGTAATCTCCTTAACTGGAGGTAAAATCAACGTTTCGGGGGATAAAACAGGCCTGCGTGCCCGTCTCTGGGTGGAGATTGGGGGTAATTAGTCTATGATGGATGGAGCTAGCTGTTGGTCGTTGTTTACTTCGATTTTAGTGATGGATAGTGGTTTTTCATAGGAATTTTTCAGAGAAAGCTTGATTTTGAGCGAAGTCGCTGATTGACATTTTGTTGACTGGTTTCTAACTAGTTCTGTTATTAGTTTCCTTTTTATTTCGTAAACTATTTCTTTTTTTTATAATGGCATGAAATATACTTTCTGTGTACAAAATTAAAGGAGTATTAATTCAATCTTGAATGAATCTTTACTGTCCTCTGTTGGTTCAATTTTAAATCCTCTAAGTTAGATTTTTTATAGTGCCTTAAATATAAGAACTATTCAGTTATAATATTACAAACATATGTAACAATGCATCGAGTTTAAAAATTTGCTAATAATAAATAATAAGTATTACTTAGGTATTACTACATCTATAAGTAATAGGTATTACTGCCAATAATGTTTCAGTTCTATACTAACTAAACATCTACTATGTTTATTAAAAAATAAATTCTGAAACTTATTACTAACAAGAAGCCCAGATACTAAATATCGTATACAATAATCTAGAAACTAGTTGCAATACGTTGAAATCCAATTTAACTTGCCACGAGGTTATTCTACGTGCAAAAATAAGTCGAAAAAAAAGAGTGAAACTTTTTCGTTTAACGCTTCGTTTTCGAGGAAAGCGAGTTCGAAATAGCAGTCATATGCACTCCGTCAATAGTCACGCTACGCGGGCTGGGCGAGAAGTTAGGCGAGTGCGCGACACTCGACAAATGTTCAAATTAGATTTTCTCGAAAACCAAGCTACGAATGAAAAAATTGTATTCCTCTTTTTTGACTTATTTTTTCGCGTAAAATAACCTCCAATAGTTACAAGTTGTTCCACTTACCGTGAAACATACTGTATACGTATAACAGTACCGCGCGTCAATCTTCTAACACGTCATAGTAACCGGAAGTGGTCCTTCAACGAGTCGTTTACAGGTGTCATATAATAAACTTATCTTGACATTCGGCGTTATCGATTGGCCAGACGTGCAGGCTGCGCGTTATAGTCCTGGAAGCTCGTTTAATTCACAATTTCGCATAAAAGATCACGCGCTTCGGATACGCTGAAATTTTGAACTCCCTCGGCGAGCTTTGCCAGCTGCTGCGATGAATACCAATTTACAAACATAAAGGTCACCCTTTCTGCGTGCTGTCCTAACTTTTCTCGATATTATTTATTATTCCGCGACCGTGAAATACGATAAAATTTTTACCTCGATAATGAACATCTAAGTGTCACGAAACTCTCGGTTTGTTTCTTCTCCCGTCAAACTTTCCTTCGTGTAATTCATCAATTACATGCTCTATTATTAAACAAAAAATTGGCTTTTAACTGGCTGGCTAATGACTTTTTTACTGACTACATGGGAGGGACGAGAATCGAGATATTGTATATGCACAAAATATTTCCAGCAGTCCGCAATTTTCATGACTGTAATTGACGTTAAATGGACGATGAATATTTCAAAATAACGTATGAAAGGACTATGTTTTCCTTTCAATTTTTCCATCATGATTTATTACAGGAAATTGGTCTTTTGTCTCTGATGACGCAGATACAACATTATATTATTAATGTCTTACGTATTTAAACAAATTATTATCTTAACTATTGTGAGGGATTGGAATAAAGTCTTCTGAAACGAATACAGCTCACAAATGCGAATTTTCAATATTACTAAATAAAATTAATATTGCAAATTGAATTATATAGCACGACATGATGAAGACAATAAACATCGAGACCAAGTATAAATATGGTGGTGCCATGAAAAGGGTTACAAAGCAAAAACGTAGACATAGGATCAATGATACTAATTAATATAAAATAATAAAATTACTGATATAACTTATTCCACTATTATGCCTGCATTTGTCACTAAGGAACTTAAAAATGAGGATTTTAAGGAGTATCAAAAATGGAGTTAGCCTCGATACCTTTATATCATCCTGTGAGACTTCTTTACAATTTCACACAGTACATTTTATTCTTCCCCTGAAAGAATTACTACTATAAAATTTGTTATATTTATTATTATTATTATTATTAGACAATCTTTTTGAATGTAGTATACTATTTTCTTATGTATAGTATACTGTTTAACTAATACGTAATTGGTAAAATGATAGCCACAAAAGTGATAGGAATAGCTTGAGGAATTCGATATAGCTGTTTTAAATATATCTCTAGATTTGAACGTCGAATTTCTTTCTAAATCGTGATTTTCATTTTTTAAGATTAATATAATTATTAAATAAGGTACCATAATATGGAACAAATATAATCGAGATCAGTTTAGCGGCCATTCGCTATATATTCACGTTTTTCAGCAGCTTTAATAGTTGGAACAGTGAATGAGTTAGCTCACAATTGCCGAAACATATACGCTCACGTTGAGTTAAACTTTTATCAATAGCTCACGTTGCATTGTTTCGCCGTAACATAAACTCAGGATTCAAATTCCAAGCGAGTGCAGACACAATTTCTAACATATATGCGAGAACGGTATGTTAACAGTATGTTGCAGGCTTTTGTAAGTTCTCTGAACAAGACAAAGGTATTGTGTCTAACTTTAGGCATAACATCTTGCGCACGCTGATGCAGTAGTTGCATTACATGCCTGTTTATTAATAAGCATCCCGTCTAACTGTTTAACCTCTGCAACCAAGAATGTCTTCCTGCTAAGGATGCTTAAGACGATGATGATAGAAACTATGATAAAGGCGGGGGATTATTAACCAAGCACTTTCTGAATTCCTGGTTTAATTATCAGCTTAATTATTAGTGTACACGAGACGTCTTTTTCCTTTACTTAAAATTTTTTAATCGATTAAAATTGCGAATTATAAATTTTTTCCGTGTTATTTATCAATTTTTAATTTCAGTATGATCCTATACACTGTTTGGAATAATGAAATAATTTTACCATTTCGTATTTATGAAAAATGATATCTTGTAAAATTAGAAAATTTGTTATATTGCAAAAATTTGTTCGTTGAAATATAATTAGAGAAATCGTATGACAAAATCTCGTATTTTCATTCGCTGGTTTTATTTCGTTGAAATAACTGCGGTTACGTGTGTTTGTCTAGCTTTCTGCATTTGTTTAAGTCATATGGAATCCATTTTTCTATTTCCTTTACTTCTGTTTGCACCGAGTTGCGAATAATTGCGCAATGGTTTAATTTCCTTCTGAAATATTATCTCATTCACTCTTTGTTCTGGATTATTTCTAATAATTTTTCTTGAATCATCGTTGGTGGTAATTTTTCCATTTTTCTTTCGCATTATTCTTCAATGAGATTGGAGAATGAAATTAATAAAAATAAAATTAGAATCAATCTTATTAATATTATTAGTACCATTAAACTATTAATACATTATTGATCTTACTCTCATCGGTAATTTTATTCATATTTTTATTATTCATAGACCATGAATAAATTATTCGTCTACTTCACATTAATCCTGAATGGTATAAATCATCGCGAAATCATCTTAATATTTACATAAGCTTCCTCAGCTCCTAAATTCAGACTTTTAGCATTATTTACGATGCGTTTTCCAAGTCTGAATGCATAACGAAGTTGAGCAAATATCCCATCATGATTCATGATTTGAAAAATGAAATTCCTCTAGTTTTATGACATCATCACTTAATATCCTATGCACATTACTTCAAACAAATCTTTTCTTCTTTAAAACATTCTCTAAAATTGAATATTTGGTTAAGTTGAAAATATATAATTCCAAGTTTCAGTAAAACAATCTTCCAGTTTATCATAGTACATTGTATTTTCATTTTACAAGATTTCCATTTAAAAAATTTATTTTTATTTTAAAATAAAATAGGAATTTAAAAAAATTTTTATAAAATTATCCTTTGTTTATTTAATATCGATTATTAAAAAAGCAACGTGCAGTGCTTAGTCAAATTTATTTAATACCAGAATAATGGCGGATCTGTGCGCAGGTTGTATCGATATTTTCGTTAAACATTCACCTTCCTTTTACAGCCGCTGGCTTTGGTCTAAGGGTGGTCGGTGGTAAAACAGGGGCTGATGGACGTACTTTTGCATACGTGATGTGGACCGTGCCAGATGGACCAGCAGCAAAAGCTGGTATACAACGCGGTGATAAGGTAAGATCTCATACATTTTTCGTCACGCTAAGGTATTCGTTTAAAGCTGCAAAATTAAACCCGTCTACGATTTCGCAGGATCTTCTCTTTACTTTCCAAATTAAAGCATTATTCTGGAAAATCTTCAGTTCGTTGACGATTTCTGTGCAACACATTATTACAGAAACCGATGTGTTCTTATTTATTCGGAGCTTTTAGAGGTAGACAATTATTTTTAGAGAAATTTATTAATTTTCAATTCCTTTTAATTTTTATCAATTTTAGGGAACAATAGTTTTGTAATAATTGTAATAATTCTAATTCTACTGGTCAAATTTACTTTCGTTACTTAATTACTTACATCCAAACTTAAAATTAAAGTAGAAGTGTAAAATTAAATATAATAGGTTAATATAAAGCAATTTAAAAATGAAAAACAATTTATTATCTTTTGCACACTTATTTTTACTGATATTTTACAATAAATTAAATTCAGCAAATTATTTAAGGAAAATTGAGAAAGCATAATAAGTATTCGTCTTAATTGTACTAAATATTTAAAAATAGAAAGAAATGGTAGCTCATTGATGACAACCAAAAGATCCCAAATAGCCCCCTAAATCATTCAATCCTAAGAAAGAAAAAGAAAAAAAAATTTTTCTTAAATCAAATTTTAGAAAAATTAAAGAAAAAAATAATTGGTAATTCTTTGACGATAATCAAGCGATTTCATGTAATGTTTTTAACCATTCGTAATTATTCATTCTCCCTAAAAATAAAATTCCTCGAGGTATAGAAAAATGGCGACCCATCGATGGCGATCAATCTCGAACAATCCAACACGGTGCAACACACGTTCGAACCTCGTGAACTCGAATTAGCCCCACGAATCGGAGCGCAGAAATATTTAATGGTCATTTAAATTCTCGAAGGAAATAAAAATGTTTCGGTAACTCGTGTCCAGTGTTGAGCTGGCCAACGTTATTGCAAGCGGTTAATGCGTGCGAGTATCGACAACCATTCTCAACAGCTGTGATTTTAATTAAGTTATCGACAGCTGTGCGCAACGCAAACGTGCCACAATCGTGAACGTCGACTGGGAAGCTATATCTCGTAAAATCGTACGAATTCATTAACATATGATCGTTTAATTTCACGTTACAAAGTAATTCCAGGAGCCCATTCGCGACAGCTAGAACCAATCTACTTCGACGTTGGTGTGCATCTTAAACTGCTTACTCGCGAAACAGATTCGCATAATAAGTTACGCATCGAGTTTCATCTGAAAATTTTTCTTCCATAATTACAATTTTCCAATGTTTCCAATGTATCACTTTTGGGGAGACGTATATTGTAGGTGATACGAAAGATATGAATTTTCATTGAGATTCCGGCAAGGTGTGTGTGGTGAGGTTTGGTAAAATTTTAGAGGAAGGGTGGAGTATGTTACCATAATATGTCACAGAGTGTAATTTTTAATGTGAAAAAAGAATTTGAAATAGGGCACTGTTTGTTAGAGAGTGAAGAAATTGGTGCACTTTGTGTTATTAGATTTTATTAGTGGTTCAAAAGTCGGAAACTTCATTTCCACTATTTTTATTTTCAGATAGATATTGGGACTCTGTCGAAGATCATGAAATTTAAAACGAGATTTGAATGATTTTAGAAGAAAGACATTCATTTTCTTGTCAAATATTTATTACGTCATTTAGAATTTTATCTTGTTATTTATAAAATCAATCACGAATTAGATTATCGAATAATATATCATAAAATATAATAAAACAATAATATACCATAATAGTAAATAAATAATGAAACATTAATATATTACAAATAACATAAAAATAGTTACATACATAACTATTATATATAACTATTTATGTATGTAATATATTATTTTTGGATAATAATAGGTATATTACCCCAATAAAATATATTATTATTTTTGTATTTGAGATTTCCTAATCTCTATTCCCTAACCATATCCTCATTTCTTTTTCTATATACATATATATCTTCAACTATTATCCTATATTTTATTTTACAATCTCCTTCTACTTCTACAATATTTTGTCTTATCATATTTGCAAATTTCTCAAATTTTCTCTCCACATCAAGATACATACAATATATTCCTCAAAGAAATAATTTCAATAAATTTACAGAAACCAATATCTCCCTAAAATTTAATCGCACCAGCTAGCAATCAGCCGTTTATCATACTTTAATATTTTTTCTAGCCATCAAACATGCCTAATTTATTCCTAATTTAATTACAGCGGCGTATACGCTGAGATCGAATAAAACACTGAATATTTCATGAGGTTATTTTTCTCTCGCGCTGTCACGAACAGCTAGTAGACATGTTTTCCTTCTCTTACATCTTTCATAAATTCGCCTTTTCCCTCGCGATCGTTAGAGGAAATTACAGGGCCATTGGATAGACGTTCCTCGCTCGCGAAGAATCGCCCACTCGGTAATTAATTACGATAAGGTCTGACGTCGAGCCAATTGATATTCTTACGAACTCCTGCGCTTTTTTTGTCCCATTGCTTTCCAATTTAGAAACGATCGGTCCGCATTTGTCACGGAATCAGACATTCTTTGAATAACCCGATATAATCGGAACGTAAAACAGCTGCGCGGATAAATCGCATCTATTCGAAAGCTACACGAGGATAAAAATAATAACGTAATTCATTTGCAGAATCCATAAGGTACGAGGTTATTTAAATAATTGCTTGAACATGAAAGAAATGAAAACCTGGTCGAGATTTATGGGAAAATGAAAATCTGAACAATAAATGACGTTCTTTCCTAAAATTGTCTTACTTTTGCAATTATTTTATAAAATTAGGTATTTTATATTTTTAGTATTTGTACTTTATTTACTTATTTTAATATTGACATGAGTATTAATATTTTTTATTTAATATTTATTTAGTGGTACTGGTCGTTTTGTGAAAATACTGATAATTCCAATTTATTATTTTAGTCTATTTCCTCTGATAAAGATGGGAAAATGAATGAGAATATTATATAAATAAATTTAGAAATATTTGTAATTTATTATTTGTAATTTATTATTATATTTATTACATTATCTATTACATTATATGTAGGATTTTGGGAGGACTGACTCAAGATAGTATTGTTGGCATCTTAATAGAATAAGATAAGATTATAAACAGAATGACGCCTATGAAACAGGAGCTCTTCTGATCTTTCTTATTGTTAGACTGACTTAGACTCCTTACATACTGGCTTACACACTCTAACTTACACACTTTCAAGGCCATAGTCATTTCCAATCCTACATATATTTATTATATTATTTATTATTATATTTCTAATTTATTATTTTAATCTATTTTCTCGGACAAAAATGGAAAAACGAACGACACTATTATATAAATAAATTCAGAAATATTCGTAATTCGTTTCTTCCCAAAACAAAACTTTCGATTTCGATCAGTCTCCGATTGAAAAAATGCGTTGCGAAATTGTCAGTGGATGGGATGAAAAAATTCGCAGAGTGCAGTGGATTAAATCTCGCGAATGGTATAAACGCTGGTATAACCATCAATCAAACGGACAGTAACCAACAGTCATGCTCGATTAAACCGAAAACGAATCAGCCTATCATACCCGACCATCCGTGAAATAATTGCCATTTTTCTGCATCGTGGGAGAGATACGAAGAAGTGCGATGACCAGATAGAGAGCGCTGCTTAATGACTTCCTCGAAGTTCGTGGTTTATACCCAATTCAAACAGGACAATTTATTAAAGCAATTAAAATGGTTCGAAGACTCTACGAGTTCAACAGATGCGATCGATTCCTGGTAGGATTACGTTGAACTTGTCGAACGAACTTTCACGTAATTCCGCGATTAAATCCTTTCGCGAGAAACGTATTACCCGCCAGTCTTCGCGCCAGTCGTTTTTCGCTATAAATCACACGCCCACTGCCAAACTTTTCTCTAACTTCTTGACCCGTGGAACAGTTTTGATCAGTTTGGCGCGGCCATGCTGCGAAATAAGAAACGTTTCGTTAGCTCGAGAACTTAGCGAAGTCTACTCTGACAAAAGCATAGACAAGAAGGAGTTTCGAGACTGAAGATTCAGATGAGCAAAATGGTCATTTCTTCGTTTAATCTTAGAATTAACAATTCAGTAGGAATGTGTTAGAGTAGTGGATAGAAATGGAAACCAATATCTTGTACGTTTTTTAACAATTAACAAATTAATATATGAGCCGTTCACTGCACAAATCGATTAACTCCAGTTTTTTGAAAAATCTTAAATTTAAGTGTCAAAGCACTTAGTATAGTCATAACTTTTTGTATTTATAATAACTAATAGATAGAAACATAATAGAGTGAAAATTAGAGAAAAAATATTGGTTGAATAAATTTTCATTCGTTTCTAAATTGTTTGGAATATAAGCAAAGTTACGAATACCTTTGCGAATGACTGCATTTATTTATTTATATTATACAATGTCGATTAATATTATATATATAGGTACTTTATTTAAATACATATATTGTGATTCTAGAATTGAGGTTGCGTTTTAAACTAACGTAGCTTACAATTGTTGAGCCTGCTATACACTTTGCGAAGTAGATCAGTGATATAACAGGAAAGAGGATGATTACTTTTGAAAATATATGTCGAAAGTGTAGAATAAAGTTTTCGCAGGGAAGCTTTGTTTTTGGAAAGAACAACTTTGAGAACTCATTCAGTATGTAAGGTATATTTGGGTCTTGATTGGGCTGATCTCTACTTCTGTTCTTATCTATATTTATTTTATAAATATGGGTAATAATAATTTATTTTTATAATCACGTATTTGTTTAATCATGGAGAACATTTGTCTTGATAATCTCATCAATTATTATTATAACATATGCTCTTGTGTATAGAATATTGAAGAGCATAAATATCATATTAAACATCTTTTAATTGGCAAGATGAAAGCAAAGCATCAGCTAGTTAAAGAAATTTGTAAAATTCGATATTATATCATGTTGACCCTATTCTCACCTAACCTTCACTCTACCTTCAGAGCCTATCCTTTCAATCTACCACTGATAACGTAACCTCAAATTATTGCATTTATACTATAATGAAAAAGAAACTAATTTCACTTCGATTGCTATATTTATAAAAAATATATTTTCTATTCGTGAATTATCATGGTATAATAAAGTTACGTAGCAAATACCAATGGCAAAAAGGAATATTACCAATACACATACGCTGCATTCTCTGTACATAATAGTAGGAGGAATAGAATTTTGTTAATTTCAATAGTTAAACCCAACCCAATAATATTATACGCTAAAAAGTTATTCAAAATGAGATCTTTTTTAATATATTCCAATTCACCAAAGTCCCAACGTCACTCTCCACCCTAATTGCCCTCCCCATACATATAGCACCTAACCCAACCAACACACATTCTTCCCTATCGCAAACTCTAAAACACTCACTTCCCAACCCATTTCTTTCTTTTTCTTTTTACCTACAGGAAATCTTCCAAAGATACCCTAGGCCACTGGGGTAGGGCACGGGGTTATGTGGGACTTTTACCCACGGAACTTGTTACCCCACAGTGGCCATCCTCGCTGTGCTGGTAGAACATTTTGAACTCGAAACGAACACAGCCGGTGCTCCCCCGTGACTTGCCCCTGGCAGAACTCATTCCCTGACTCACCCAAACCAAACCAAAAGAAACTAAAAGGAACATCTGTCTCTCCTTACAGGTGCTCGAGTGGGCAGGAGTGTCTCTGGTTGATCGGAGCTTCGAGGAAGTAGTTCAGATAACGGAGTGGGTAGGCGATGTGGTCGAGCTGGTAATCGAGCACGCCTCTGACACGTAAGTACAATAACGAGCAGAGCACTGAAATAGAACGTAGTCGACCGAATGGAGTCGAAAAGTAGTGATTCGAATTGCTTCAATTGTATATCATCGCTGCTTTTACGTGACGCGAATGCAGCGGGGACTTGCCGGAGGATCTGGCCACGGCTCCGTCGTCGGGAAAAGTGCCGGGAAATCTAGGACTGCTGATGGGTGAGTACGAAACGAATGGTCGCAAGCATCGTCGGGATCGTCGGAATCGCGCGCCCGTTGAAAAAGATCAATCGTCAGACGCAGAATGCAACCGGAGTGCATCGTCGGCTTTAAAATCGATAACTCGCGCGGAACCGGGACTCGGTCGCGTTTCGAGCGCATGGAACAACGGGAAAAAGAGTTGATCGTTTGAGCTGCCCGATAGCAGCTCGTTCGTCCTTCGCCCTGTCGGGGATTAAACGTTCGTCTTGTTTGTATTCTTTTCTCTCGTGGAGAAAAGAATTTCGAGAAATACGCCGTGTCCAATTTAACCTTGTTACATGGACTCTGATATGTTTGCTTTACTTTTGACGTTTGCAGCAACCTTTCTTTGCTTTTCAAGGATATACCGGGTGTTCGGCAAGATTGTACTGGGCTAAACTTGTGGTATGAGTTAACGAGGTCGAGTAGATGAAAATAGATCACACGAGTTAATGAGTACTTATGCAAATTGAGATATGAACGATTCTATAATGTGAAACAACCTATATTATGAAATAAAATTAATATTTTTATTTTATTTATGTATTATAGATTAGTATATACTTTATATATGTTCATATACAGAGTGATGAAAAGACGGTTAAGGACTTTAAGAGTTCATAGTGTGAACAATGTAGGTTAGGATCTAGGTTAATCATAGGCGATCAACCCTATCGATGTAAAATCGAATTTATTATTTAATAATATTCAAGATCGTATATTATTCAAGATTTCTAACAAAAGATTATTACAGATTTACGTTATTTTATTTTTATTTGATATAATTAATTTATTTTTTTTGTATGTGTTATAGATTAGCATATACTTTATATATGTTCATATACAGAGTGATGAAAAGAGAGTTAAGGACTGTCAGGGTTCATAGCATGAACAATATAGGTTATGATCTAGATTAAACATAGATGACCAATCCTACTGACGTAAAATCGACTTTTATTAATTAACAATATTTAAGATTGTATATTAATTCAAGGTTCACAAAAAAGAATCGTTACAAATTTATTTTATTTTATTTTCACTTATGATAATTAACTTTTCACATGTCTTCTTTTCATTTTTATACAAATTTCGCGAAACTCATTCGCGATATCCAATATTCCTAAGTAATAAAAATCGATTTTATGCTGAAGGAATCCATTGTAAAACCTATGTTTATTGGACATTTCTTGCTTTTCTCTTAGCGAGGACTATAAACCCTTAAAATATTTATAGAACGTGAACCAGTAAACTACAGATACGAAATTTATGGTGTAAATGGGGTCAGGGAGATTCCATGCCGTATGTTTGGCCCTGACCTTTTCGAACACCCAGTATAGTACTACTTTGAATGAAACAGAGAAACATCTGCAAGACGATTTTTTCAAAATTAGAGAATTTATTCAGCAACACGGTGCTTTAACCTAAACCTCGTTTATTCTTCTCACACACACAGGAATTTCATAATGAACTGAAAATTATGAAAAACATTTTCGAATATGACACAAACGATTGAAATTGTGTCACAGGATTAAACACGTTTGAAATGTCGATCCCACTTTTATATCCACGGTACATTAAATCAGGTTAAAATATAATTTTTATCGCGGTTGTTCCAATTTACCGACTGAGTTCCATATCACCATTTCCTCTTCCATTTCGCTAAAAAATTCTATTAAAAGAAGCGTGCTGTATTACATAAACAAGGCTGCGCTACTTCCTGCTCTTTATGGTATTATAAAATAATTTCATACCCTGAGTAAAGCACATATACCAATCTCCACCGACGAAAATTAACCATGCTGTTAAAAGTAAAACAAATATATCAGAGCAGCGAAATAAAACGTGACGCTACGTAAACGTGTGTTTGTATCATGCATTATTCTCACGACGAACCTGAAATATTTTTCAGAAGGTGAAACGGATAAAACGCCCTCCTCACCGACGCGCAGGAAACTGCCAAAGACGCCGGTATAACGAGTTCATAAATTGACACCTACACGTGACCGTCTCTATTTCTTTTTTTTTCCCCCTCTTTCTCTCATTTCCACGCAATGTACACGCATACGCATAAAACTACACGGGAGAAGTAAACCTCGATTAGACCGAGTTCTGTTAGTGTAGCGAAAAGTGAAGCGCCAACAGCAACACCTACACTTTAGAAACCGGAAGTGACCACCGCCTCTCTCGGTCTTTCGCTTTGTATATATCTCATAATCCGTATCCGATGCGACTACCGAGCCAATTTCACCTGTTATGCGTTCCAATGCCATCGTGTATTACCACGTGTAACCGTGTTCACGTATGGTGAACAGGAAATGGCAGCCAGCGATCTGGCAGACTGCAAAACGCTGCACTCTATGCAGATAACAGAGCGAACCTGAACGGCACAAAGCACCTTCCACAGAGATCCTTCCGCGAAAAGAACGGAGGATTCTGAAAGAAAATCGAACATATCGACTAGACTTTTTAGCCTCAGCCTCTTCTTCGCCCTCGTTTTCGTTATGATCTTGTTTATATAGGTCAGAACTAAATCTAACGTTAGGGCTTTCAGAACTGAGATCGTTCAGGGATGCATTGAATTTTAATAAGCCAATGCAATCGAGGAATACTCCTTGAGATTCGAGTGGTTGCAGTTGGACTTGAGACCGTTCTGAGGAAGACTGAATTAAACTGTTATATATCGCCTTCCAGTGAGACCAAATTACCCGTAAAAATCGAAGTGATATTATTACTTTTAAGGATATAATTGTGCTGATTTATATCTCTTTTGATTTCGGTTTCCCAGAAACTATAACATTGATTTTAATTTTGGTTATTGAGTATATTCTGTAATTATCGGTTTATTTTATTTTATTGATTGAAATATTGAAATGAATTATTATTTTATTTCCTCATTTTTTAATCGTTATTTCTTTGTTCTTACTATTATTATTATTATTACTATTATTATTATTATTATTATTATTATTATTATTATTATTATTATTCTCCCTTCCCGGGGTTCTCCAGCGGCTGGACAGGACACAGCCAGGTCTAACTTGGCTCTTAATTTATGTCGTATTGTATTGTGAAAAGTGTCAGTAGTTCTGGTCTGTATTCTGTTATTGTTATTATTATTATCTTATTATTTATCTCACTAATATTCATACTAAAACTAATGATTAATATAAAAGGATCCGACGAAAAGTGTGATTTTATCGGATTTATAACTCTGATTGAAGAAAATAAATTGTAGCAGATAGATAAAAGACGATATAATACATTTCTCAAAGAATCAAAATTAAAATAGATATAAACCAGAACCACTATATTCATTAGAGCCGTAACATCATTTCTACCCTTCCAACTATTTTAAGAACCAAAACCCGATATCAGGACAATTTTCAACCCCCGTGATGCAACGCTTCGAACTCTGCCTCGTGGCAAATATCCATCCCCAAAATAGTGATAACCTATCTTGTCCAATGTTTAGTGTATCGAATTTGAGTTTGTACAAGGTGTATATACATACATGTGTCTAGTGGAAGACTGACGTGTAAATATTTGTCGCAGCGTTGATCTAACGCGAATTCGAGGATCTCGTAATGAAACGTTAGCCATGAAACGATGAAAATTGAAACCGCGATGCGATTCCCTTTTTTTTTTATTATTGAAACGAGGACCAACGCGATTTTTCTCGGTTACCACTGAAATTCCCATTCTCGAAGCAACGCGTTAAATTGCACGAGAAAAATACCATGGATACGTTGTAAACGACAGAGACCAAACTTTGTACGTTTTGTATTCGCAGAAAAAAGAGCTTGTATTTCAAGAAAAAGAGCATATAATTCGAGAAAATTAGAGTTCTCGTCTGAACTCCAGAGTATTTAATTTTCCGTGTCGTTCCATATTTTATTTGAAATTTGCGTGCAAGGGATATTGAATGTAATCTGTTTAAAAAAAAATATAAATAATTACTCGATGGTGGAACAGCTTTTGTATCGGTAATACACGGAATTGTATTGCACTGTAACGTATTATCGAACATTTAACTTTCTCTGATCATTTAACTCCCGTCAATCATTCACACGAAATCTCCATTTTAGCAACGAAATACCCCCAACGAATTTTAATATTCCGCGCAATGAATTTTCGAAAATACATATCAAACCTGTCCATGGAAATGATAAAGAGATTATTCAGAGGTACATGTCATGTTTTTTCAAATGCATTGGATATTGTTCAAAAATTTATTCCGAGGACTGTGTACCTTTTGCTGTGTACACAGTTATGCACACGGTTTCTAGGATTACGAATTACAGAGACACGCGACATTTGGGCAAATGTCAAGTTAATTAATTCAGTTAATCTATCGATTGAGAATTAATTAACATTTCGCTTGTTTACGTTTCTGACACGTGTTGTCGTTACATCTAATTATACAGAGTGGGACTGAAAGGATTGTACCAGTCGATAGGCAACTCCTCGTGCAGAGGGAGATCCGAAATATAAAATAAAACTTGATCCAGAATCTTCTTTGATTTATTTATTATTTGAATAAATAAATCGTATTTTTCATTTCTGATCTATTTTTGCACAGGAAATTATGTTCTACTCAGTTATAGGATACCATGCTTTCAGTCATACCTTGTAAAATTTCTACATTCTTAATCCAACACCGATACGAATTTTAGAAAACGTACTCCGACTTTGCGACCACGACAGCGTTCGAACGATGCAAACCTTATTACAACTATAATTTAATTATTCTTAATGAAATCAAAATTTTGTATTCCAAATCAAATCAATTTAAAAATTTCTATATTCAAAGAACCATATTTTCAAATTTAAAAAAAGGGAATTAAAAGTTACGAAATTATACAAAAAGAGAAAGGGAAAAATTAAAGATCTCCATATTCAAAGAACCATATTTTCAAATTAAGAAAAAGGGAATTAAAAGTTACGAAATTATACAAAAAAAGGGGAAAATTAAAAATTTCTATATTCAAAGAACCATATTTTCAAATTAAGAAAAAGGGAATTAGAAGTTACGAAATTATACAAAAAGAAAAAGGGAATTAAAAGTTACGAAATTATACAAAAAGAAAAGGGGGAAAGATTAAAAATTTCACGATTAAAGATTCCAGAAATAGAGATTTAAAAAGGAAATACAAAATTCAAAGTTTTAGTATAGATTACATCATTTTTATCAGACTTTTGCAAAGAACACGCTTCCCCTGTTCTATCTCGCGGAAGGATCGTAGGTAGCCTGCGCTGTCGAATGCGTTTCGGTTATCGCAACGGATTTAGGAGAACGTAGGCGTAGATATAAATGGAACTAAATCATTTCCCGTAATTTCGTGTCTTTCCGATCAAGTTATCGAAGTTAATAAACCGTATGCTTTCACTCGATGTCTCATCCGATAACGTGCGTCACGGGGAACATAATCCTCTAACTCGAGACTCTCGAAGAACGACGAACAAGAGAGAGAGAGAGATAGATAGAGAGAGAGAGAGAGAGAGAGAGAGAGAGAGAGAGACAGAGAGAGACAGAGAGAGACAGAGGATATGCTTCCTTGTATCAAGTCTAGGTGCTATTAGCTAAGGATCACCCATGCATCAGTGTAAACCATAATTCGGACCAGGTGTCGGCTTGCTTGATAACAACTTTCCTATCACCTCTTTATATATAACAGATACATGTTCTCTGATCAAGCACGCTATACGTATAACACCTTAACCAAATATGTGTGTCTCTCTTCTGGGTGGATCTGTAAATAATTATACAGGGTTTCTGACAATAGGTGTACGTCGTTTATAAATAAGATCGTCGTTAAGCTGTAGCTGCGAGAGATCAACCGAAGATTTTTTCGATCGATTGCGGGATTCTATGTGTTTCTTATGTACGTTTTCTTCCTCCATTTGGGTTTCCGTTTCTCCATTCGGTTCGTTGCTTTCACGGAAGAAACGAAATGATTAATATCGCGTCTTGATTCCGTGTTTCGCCATTGCTGAAGCAGAAAGTATCTGGTCTGATAATTCGGCCGGGGAACGCCGAGGATATCGCTGCTCGATCATAGCGAAGGCTAGCCGATGTCAAAGGCAAAACAGCGACAGAGGTACTCCGTTATTCGCGCAGATATTTAATAAGAATTTCTGGGATTCTTTGTATCTCCATATCATTTTCATTGCTGAAAGAGAAGTCTCGCGTCTCGTTGATCGCGAGAAATCGAGTTCGAAGATCGAAGGATACTCGTAGAGTAGAAAAATAAACAATAGAGGACGCATTCTTCCTTTGTTGGACTTTGAACTGTGTAGCTTCTAGAGAACAGAATAAGTTAAATTAGAGATAACATGTTCGAAGAGTAAATTTGTAAATTTCGCGTCCAACTTTCGACTCGTAGAGATTTCTGGTAGCGATCAGAGCGTACTTGGATCCTAGCCGAAGTTTCGCATAGCAGAGATACGGTTGCAAATTGATGTAATATTACAGGTAAACATGACACAGGACCAAAACCGGTAGAGGATTCTTCTTCTAATTAGGTATCGCTTTCGTGTCTCGGTGTTTCTCGTAATAATTATTATAATTACGTGTATCAGATGGAGTTTGCGAGACCCTGGATTTTAGAATCCTACTCCGCGACCGTTTAGTGTATTACTCCGTATTGTAAGCTAAGAAATTTCATAGGTGTCCAGAAGTTGCATACAATTGTAATTGTTTCAGAGCAGGAAACAGATTGTAGGTAACTCGTGCCAACGTTTCTGCTTAAGTATAATAAGATACAGCGAAGAAAGTGTGGTTGAATAACAATAACAATAGTAATCCATATTGCTACAAATTGGCTTAATTCTATGATCAAATGCATCACGAAAATGCATTTGAAAAAATTAAAGAACTGGAGATTAGAAAACTGAGCTTGAAAATTCAAGATTAAAACATAGAGAATTAAAGAATCCAAAAATCAGGAATTTTAAACTCCAAATAGTGA